TAATGGATGTCAGGGGGAGGACAGAAAGCAAAATGTTTGTGGACACGGAACTCAGAGCCCACGGTTATTCAGAACACACGTACGCCTACCATATAGGGCGTGGTACCACATGTAGGGAGTCCTGAGGTGCCAGTCATTCCTTCACCCTCTGTTAGCCAAAAGGATGGATGTTGGAGTCCACTCTGGGAAGAAAGGCCGCTGATCGACCTCTGGAGAGACAGCCGGTGAGAGTCCTGCAGAGCCAGCCCTACGCTGGCCCTCGGGGTCATTGCGTGGATCCGCACGAACGCAGCAGCGGCTGGTGTGCCTTCATGTTGGAGCACAGAGCCGCAAACTCGGGGAGGGGGCTCTTTCTCCGTCTGGAAACAGATTTTTGTTTACGGGGCCAGTCCATTTTCGATCTCGATTTGTTGGGTTGCTTGTGTTTTGGAGGTGCCTAGAAGGTTGCTCATGGCTGCAAGCTCACACTTGGGCTGCAAGGACTTCATGGTCCCTCCTGAATGACGAAGGTGGGGTCTCCGCTCCCTCCCCTCCTCTCTCTCCATTGTCAGACTTGCCACGGTCGGCCTGTATTGGCTCGCCTTTTTAAACCAGAGGAGCTTGGGACTTTCGATATTCTTTGCCAACACCACCGTTCAACTGCTTCGGGTTTCCTTCAGTCTTCCTTATTCAATCCATGTTCCGCTTGCACGTGTCTATGAAGCAACCGAAAATACCATGGCTTGGGTCATGTGCGCCTCCATTTTGAAATAAGCATCCTTGCTTTTCAACATTTTCAAGCGGGCTTGTGCAGATTTACACAGCGCAGTGTGTTTGATCTATTTTCCTTTGCTTTAACATAGATTTATGAACATATAATTCACGTATCATGCTTTAATAGTTCAGTTATATTAAAAAGTTTCGTTAGCTCTCCATTTCTCTCTAGCCTGTCCTCCCATGCTCCTAATAAGGCATCAAGCTAGTTACTATCTCCATAGATCTGCCTATCTCAGATTTCATATAGTCAACGAAACACATCGGCTATATGGATTTCACCGACTCTGCAGTAGGCATTCAACTGTGTGGACCATCATCAACAATGGGAATCCCAGAACATTCCATTGTACTTTTTAGGAACTAGTACATAGATCAAGAAGTAGTTGCACGAACAGAATAAGGGAATACTGCATGGTTTAAAATCAGAAAGAGTGTGTCTCAAGGTCACATCCTAGAACCATCTTTATATAACTGTATGCTAGGCAAATCACCAGAGAAGCTGGATTTTATGAAGAAGAGTGTGGCATCAGGATTGGAGGCTTATTAACAACCTGTGGTATGCAGATGACCCAACCTTGCTTGCTGACAGTGAGGAGGACTTGAAGCATTGCTGATGAAGATCAAGGATTGCACTCTTCAGCATGGATTACAACCCAATGTAAACAAGACCAAAATCCTCATGGCTGGACCGGAAAGTAACATCATGATGAATGGAGGAAAGGTTGAAGTTGTCAAGGACTTTTTCTTGCTTGGATCCACAATCCATGTTCATGGAAGCAGCAGGCAAGAGATCAAATGATGCATTGCATTAGGTACATCTGCTGCATGAGACCTCTTTAGAGCATTGAAGAGCAAGGATGTTACTTTGAAAACTGAGGTGCTCCTGACCCAAGCCATGGTATTCTCCATTGCATCATATGAAAATAGAAAAAAATTGTTATGAAGAAAATACCATGTAGGGGAGATTGAGGCAATACCACACACACAATTCCCTCATTATGTTTTATTTCAGAGCATCGTGGGCCACAACAAATTACCTCAGGGGGCCGTATGTGGGCCACAGACCGCCAGTTTGACATCACTGCTCTACAACCTCACACAGCACGTGCAATGATGCAAAATCCGGGCAGATCACAGCCCAGTGGGTGCAAAGTCTTGTGGATCCAGTGGGGTGGAAGCATCTCCAGGGCTCTTGGAGGTTTCAGCGTGGTTCCATGTGTCTCCTCAACAGGAAGGGGAAGTGGAGAGAACAGTGTTGTCTCCTGTAGGGAGAGAGAGGAAGAGGCCTGATTCTCATGGTTTACTATGACACACTCAAGAGGGTTGGGGTTGCATGCCTTGCTAACAACCACATTTTAAGATCTATCTTGAAGTATGGGACTATCTGTGAAGTACAATACAATCTATCCTCTTTCAAAGATACCCAATCAATACGACTCTTATTCAAATGTTTGCACTCACAACCAAAGCTAGCGATGCAGAAATTGAAGAATTCTACTTATGAATTCGGTCTGAACTTGATCAAACATGCGCTCAAGATGCATCGATAACCCTTGGCCATGGAACACAAACAGGAAGGAACGGTGGTTAGAAAGTTTGGACTTGGTGCTAGAAATAAAGCTGGAGATCTCACGGCGGCGTTTTGCAAGACCACCAAGTTTCATCGCAAATCCTTTCCTTTAACCACAAAAGGTGACACACATGGACTTCTCCAGAATATGTACAAGTCAAATTGTGGAAAGAGATGAGTGAGAAGCTCAACATCAGTAGTTAAAGCCAGGCCAGGGGCTGACTGTGGAACAGACCACCAATTGCTCGTATGTAACTTCAGATTTAAGCTGAAGAACATTAAAAGAGTCTACAACCTTAAGAATCCCACAGAGATTTAAAGAACAGATTTGCTGCATTGAACACCACGGACAGAAGGCCTGATGAGCCGAGGGAGGACAGTCAACACCATCATCCAGGAGAAAAGCAAAAGATCATTAAAAAGACAGGTAGCTGCCTTCCAAATTCTTGGCACACATCAGTGAGTGCCTTCAGTGCTCCACTGGCTTGTTGAAACATCTCAAATGGGATTCCACCAGTTCCTGAAGCCTTGTTGTGATGAATGCTTTCAGTACAGCTTGAGCTTCTTCCTTCAGCAACATTGATTCTCACTTATCTGCTACCTCTTGACATGGCTGAATGTGGACTAGTTCTGTTTGGTACAGTGACTCTATATTCTTTCCATCTTTTTTTAATGGTTTCTGCATCATTCAATATTTTGCCCACAGCCTCTTTCAAGATTGCAACTCATGGCTTGAATTCTTTTTCTTGAGTTCTTTCAGCTTAAGACATGCTGAGCACATTCTTCTTTTCTGGTTTTCTAGCTCTAAACACTATAGGTCTTTGCAAACTTCATTATAATATGTTACTTTGTATTCTTGAGCTGCCCTTTGAAACTTTCTATCCAGTTCATTGCTTCATCATATCTTGCATTTGAGTTATGATCAAGAACAAGTTTCAGAGTCTTTTCTGATAGCCACTTTGAGTGCCTTCCCACTGGAGGGCCTCGTTTCCGGGCACTGTCTCTGGCAACGTTCTGCTTCGATTAATTAGGTTTTCAGTAACCGGAATGGTTTTGATGCTGTTCATAGGGGTTTCAGTGGCCAATTCATTTGAAGTTGACAGTCGATTTCTTCTTTGTAGTCTCTTCTTAATCATAAACTTCTGTTGAAATCTGCTCATTCTGGGTGACCCTACTGGCATTTCAAATACCGCGACATTGCTTTCAGCATCACAGCAACACATAAGCCACCACAGTATGAGAAACAGACAGATAAGTGGTGGGGATATATGTGTGTGTGTGTGTGTGTGCATTATACACACATATTCATGTAGTCTTTCATATCCTTAACAGTTTTTTGGGGGTCACTCAAGTTATTATTTTATGATAGAGGTATTGAAAATTCCCTGCTATAATTTTGAATTGCTAATTAATCTTTGCAATTTGCCCATTTTCATGAGACAAATAAAGACTATGTTGTTACATTTAGGTTAATGTTAGCATATTTTTTGATTTAGGATCCCTTTTATATTCATAATCTTTAAAAAACCTCTTTTTATTTTCATTTTATCCAGTATTCATATTCATGTTGCTTTAGACAACTTTTTTAAAATTGCCTGATACATCTTGTTTTCCCTATCTGTTTATTTTCAACCACCTTGTTTTTGATGCTGCTCTAATGCGATCTAGTTCATGTGCAGCCGGCCTGACCCCAGAGTGAGCAGCTAGGAGGGTAGCTGCAGAGGGTTGGGCCCTGCACAAGGAGGTTCTGGGGCGCGATGAGGGTGAAGGAACCGGTGGCTTGAGTCCAGGGGTCTCAGTGAGGTTCCTCTTCTTTTCATTGCATGCTTTCTGCATTTTCTGCATCGTCTACAGTGCGTTATGTCACACAGATTTTCATTCGCAGAGCATTCATTTTTCCGTGCACGGGCTGGGCATCTTGTAAAAAACCCCACCCACACCAGGCCCCATTCCACGCCCCTCCGGCCAGACTCTAAACAGCCGCGGGTTCGGACAACCATTCCCGCGCTCCACTTGGCGCTCTTCCTAGAATCCATACCCCGCCCTTGCTCTAGAACCTGCCCTGGCGCCCAGGCCCCGACCCATCATTCACTGAGTCAATTCTGACTCTCCATCTATGAGTTAGTTTTTTGGATACGACAGAATAGAACTGCCCCTGTGGGCTTCCAAGACTATTACCCTGTGGGGGCTGACAGCCTCATTTTTCTCCCGGTGCTGGTTTCGAACTGCTGATCTTGTAGTTAGCAGCCCAATGCACAACCACTACACCGTCTGCGGACCGCTATTCCTAGAATCCAGGTCCCGCCCTCACATTAGGCCCCACCCAGGAGTACAAAGCCCCGCCTCCAAATCGATAGTCCTAGCATCCAGGTCCCGCCCCCGCCCAGGTTCCGCCTGGGTAGCCCGTGGGTCCCTGCAACCAGGCCCCGCCCCCAGAATGCTGCTAATCCCGGACTCCAGCCCCGCCTTCACTGCAGCCCCGCCCCGAAGCTCAGGTCCCGCCCCCGGTGTGCGGCTAGTCTTCGCATCCAGGTTTTGCGCCCGCCCCGGTCCCTCACCGTCTAAAGCCCGCCCTCGATAGCCCATTGGTCCTCGCATCCAAGTCCCGCCCCTTCCTCCCGCCATGGGAGGAAGCGGAAGTGGCGGGGACGGGGGAGGCGGGCGGAAGTAGGAAGCGCTCAGCGGGCCGTGGGGCTGCCGTGCTGGCTCTGGGCGGCTGGAGCTGGCCGGCGGCGTGCAGCCATGGCGGAGAAGTTCGATCACCTGGAGGAGCACCTGGAGAAGTTCGTGGAGAACATCCGGCAGCTCGGCATCATCGTCAGCGACTTCCAGCCCAGCAGCCAGGCCGGGCTCAACCAGAAACTGTAAGGGCGGGCGGGACCCTCCGCCGACCCCTGCCCCGCGCGGCCCGAGGCCGCCTCCGGCTGCCTCCGTCTGTGGGAGCTGGGCGGGCGGCGGGCGGGCGCTAATTACCAGTAATTACCAGGCTGGAGGCCCCTCGGCTCTGGGGATAGCGGGCGCTTGGGCAGCCAGGCCGCCCTGGGAGGAGTGGTCTTGAGGAGTGGACTCATTGCGGGTGCTTACGCTGCAGTGCAAGCTGTGAACCTGTGTCCCTTGAAGTAGCTCATCAGATTCCCAAATGACTTGGGCCCCTCCGTGTTGGCAAGTCCTGGTTTACAAGAAGAGCAGACACCTCTTGGGGGGCGTGCCAGGGATTCTTCTGGGTAACTCCGGGGGAGGGGGTGTAAGTTGAGTGAACCCCGTGCAGATGGGAGGTTTGCTTGCGGAGAATCTGGGCGGGTCGAGGTCGGAGAGCTCTGAATTCAGTGCCTTTGTTCTGCCTCTCCCCAGGAATTTTATCGTCACTGGCTTACAGGACATCGATAAGTGCAGACAGCAGCTTCATGACATTATGGTGCCGCTAGAAGTGTTTGAGTAAGTATCCTCGGCTAGCCCTTGCCTTCCCTCTCCCTCTCCTCCCCGCCCTTTGTGCACCCGCTCCTTCCCCTTCCTTCCCTACATTTTAACCTTCTAAAGTGTCAAATTCAGCCGCATTGGTTGCATTCAGTGTATTGTGCAGTCATGAACATATTCCCGAATGTTATCTCCATTCCCCGCCCCCACTAGGACAGTTTCATCCTGCTATTGAACAAATAGAGCCCTGTTGGCAAGGGTGGGTTATGAATCTGGCTGCTCACCCCAAGGTCAACAGTTCTGCGTCAGGAAGGCGAGGCTCTGTTCCTGTCAAGAGTTCTCAAACGTGCGGCCATCAAGTTGATTCTGACTCAGCGACCCTAGAGGGCAGAGCAGAACTTCCCTGGTGAGTTATTGAGGCTGTAACCCTTTACGGAGCAGAAAGCCTCGTCTGTCACCCTTGGAGCAGTTAGTAGCCTCAAACTGCTGACTTTGTGATTAGCAGCCCACCTGGTAATGCGTTAATGCCTCCGGGGCTCCCATAAAGAGCTACAGTCTCAGAGAAACACACAGGCACTTCTCCCCTGCCTATGAGATCGGCACACGCACAGGTGTGGGGTAGCTGGCTCAGTGTGCCCTCGGGAAGCCTGCCTGTTCGTGGGCTTTCAACAGGGCTCGTGAAGATGAGAGCTCGCATGGCCAACGAGGCAGGCGAGCAGCCACCAGACACCGCTTTCCCTTTCGTGGGAATGGTGAGCCTGAGGTCACCTCAGGCAGGCTTGTCTGGAGAAACAAACCACCGTGTAAGAACTCGAACCATCGAGAAGTCATATTAAGAAGACATCCCAGCCCGGTCCAACTGGAATCCCTAGCGGTGGGAGGCTGACACAGGAAGGTGATGCAGGGAGATGACCGGCCTGTGGAGCCGAGGCCCATGGCAGCATGGCAGCGGTCAGGTTTGGTGGCCCACATGGGGCTGGGCCTGGAGGCAGACACAGTCTCAGTGAAGCCTCAGGGAGGAGGAAGGTGAAGTGGCAGGGACACGCAGTGCCCAGAGTCCCTTAAAGACCACACCCCCAAGGAGGTGTCACAAACTACCATGTGACTGACAAGTGTGACCCCACCCCCCAGCCAGGAGTGTCTTGGCAACACCAAACTCACTGCTGTGGAGCCAGTGCTGATGCGTGGGGACCCTGTGGGGCTGGGCGAACGGCTCCTGTGGGTTGTCCCAGCCTCCTTGACATAAAACTACCCGGCTCCAGACAGAGCCCATCTATAAACCACATGAAAAGTCGTCTGCTGTTTCCGGAAGTCTCTGGGGGTGCTGGTCCTGGGAGAAGACCAGCATTTGCCCTGAGAAGAGGAAATGGCTTAAGGGCAAGCTAGGAGAAACTGGGAACGCTGGCCGCATTCAGTGCTGGGGAGCACCCCCAGGAAGCCCGCCGTGAGTGCGGCATCCCAGGCAGGCGCATGGCGGACACCGAGGTGTGTAGTATGAAATGAAGAGGCCGGGAGATGATGCAGATGGGCCTCCGCCGGCTGCGTGCTGATGTCTTATCACGAAGAAGACTGAGATAAGGACCGACAACTCCAAGCAGTCACTGTTTTGTGCAGAACCGAGAGTCCCACCGCTGTGTCGAAGCCGCCCATGTGTGCAGTGAAATTGTATTTATACTCCCACCCTCCTTTAATTTGAAAGCAGTGGAAGTACAGTCAAATCATCTCATGGAAGCCAGGGGCTGGGGGTGTCTGCTTGTGGCCCTGCCCTTGTTTGTACGGCCCCTGAAGCCCAGCACGGGAAGCTCAAAGCTGTGGGGCCGGGCCCGGTCCGGTGCCCTTGTCTCCCAGGCCAGCCCCTGGCCACCCCTCTCCGTTGAGAGGGTGTGGAAGCATGTTGTTACACGAGTGCATGCGGATGAGAAGCTGACCGCTGGGTTCATTCTGTACCGCCCCCAGCTGAGGATCTTTCCACCCCAAGCCGCCTTAGCCAGCACGGGAGCCACTGCCCTGGAAACCTCATTGACCTTGTCAGGACCGTGAAAGTGACTGGGTGTCTGCTGACAGATGGGGTGGTCTTTGGCAGGCCACCCCTTGTGCTGAGATCGGGCCAGAGTGGGATTCCCTGGGGATCTTGCTCCAGTTAGGAGGCTGGTTCGGGTTGTCTGGCGGAGATGCCCTTTCCCAGCAAGGGGTAGAACCGGCTCAAAGCCCTGCAAGCTACGAAGTGGTCAGGGTGGCACGGCTGGGGGCCCCAGTTACATACAAGAGCAGCTCCCTCGACCCGGCTGTGGTTCCCTCTGGGAGGCAGCCCCCTTCTTCCAGGAGAGGGGTGACGGAGGCATGTCTGTTCTCTGTCCAGGTACATTGATCAAGGTCGGAACCCCCAGCTCTACACCAAGGAGTGCCTGGAGAGGGCGCTGGCCAAGAACGAGCAGGTGAGAGGCAAGATGGACACCATGAAGGTAAGGCAGCCGGCCCACCCCAGGGCTGGACAGCTGACCCTTCCCTTCCCAGGCCTCCACCCAGCCCACCCACCCACCAAGGGCTTCACTGCCCCACCACCAGGGCTCCTTTGGAAGGGAGGCGGGAGGAGACAGGAGAGCTTTGGCAAAGACCCGGTGGTTCCTGCACCTTGTTAGAGTGGGGCTCGTGCGTCAGGACTGTGGGGTGTCAAGAAGGTGCCTGTCAGCTTCTGGGTGGGAGGTGGGAAGGTCCTAGGTAGGCTGGGGCAGTGGTTCGTGTCTTCAGGCCTCTGTGCCTCTAATTCCTGTAGCCGGAGGCTTGGGCCTGCGCCATTGAACTCAGGCTTGGGCACGCACTGGCCTCTGCCCTCCAGGCAGCCTACTCGGTGATGCCCCTCCTGGGCTTTTTGCAGGGTGAGACTTGGCAGTGGGGTGTGGCTTGAACATGGTTCTCTGCCGATTTGCTTCTGGTGGGCTTGTGTGGGTGGGTGCTGGTCAGGTGGGATCGGCCCCCAGGCGAGCTCCCTGTTTTGGGGTGGGGTCCCTCTTGCCCACTTCCCAGCCCAGCCATGAGTGCACACCTCATCCCCTGAAGCCGCCACTGCTCTCCAGGGGCCGCCTGGAGCCCGTCCATCTTCCCGGGGACTCGGTTCTGTCCTGCCGCCAGCTGGTAGAGCTGCAGGTCGCAGGGGGTGAGTGTCGGCCTGGGCAGGCTGGTGGCTGGGAAGCACCGACCTTGGGGCTGGCATCCGAGTGCCTTCGCACTGTGCCCCTGGGCTGCTTTGTTCAACTGAGAAGAAAGCGATTTGGGGATTGGCAGGCGTGCAGCTGCCTCTTAGGTGGGATTGCAGAAGGGGCTTGCCCTGCCGAGTGGGGCAGGGCTTGGGGGTGCCCGAGGCTCTTGGGAGCTGGGACTGGCCTCTGGTGTGGCTGAGTGCCCGTCATCAGCTGTCAGGTAAAGCCTGGTGGGTGCACAGGGAGCCAGCTGTATTGGAGCGTGGGGTTCCCTTCCCAGGGCTTTCTGCCCTTGGCCCAGCAGACCCACACCCATTCATGGGTGTGGGGTGAGCAGGCAGGAAGGAGCCTTTACACTTGATCTTAGCCAAAGGCTGAGAAGCGATTGGCAGGAGCCTTTAAGCCAGTGGTTCTCAACCTTCCTCATGCTGCCACCCTTTCATACAGTTCCTCATGTTATGGTGACCCCCCAACCATCAAATCATTTTCGTTGCTACTTCATCACTGCCATTTTGCTACTGTTATGAATCAGGTGACCTCTGTGAAAGGGTCGTTGAACCCTCAAAGGGGTCAAGACCCACAGGTTGAGAACCGCTGCTTTAACCTGACTGGGGTCACAGCGGCCCGTTGGTTTGTAGTGTGCTGGTGGGTGGTCTGTGCGGTGGATGTGTGCCTGTGTATGTGCGGTGTGCACAGTGGTCAGCTCGAGTGACGAGTGATGGCTCTGAAACTGAAAGAGTGACCGTGTGCAATTTTTTCATAGAAATTCAAAAGTCTGTTGATTCAAGAACTTTCCAAAGTGTTCCCAGAAGACATGGCCAAGTATCGGAGCATCCGAGGGGAGGACCATCCCCCTTCCTAGCTGCCTGAGCAGCGGACCTGAGCCTGTGTGGACCTCTGTGACTGGGACACCCGATTCCCTGCCCATGAGCTGCCCGCAGCCTCCTGGTCAGCGGCCCGAGGAGGAGGCCAGGGACGGGCCGAGCCCACTGTCTGCTCGGCAGGGTTGTAGACGCAGGGCTGCGCTGTCATCAGATCCCACCCACAGTGGCCTCAGGACACAGGAGGTCTCCCGGACACGTGTCCAACGGGGGCAGACTGCCACAGCTCTCTCCCACCTCCTGTGCAGACCTCTCAGCAGCTGTGCGCTTAATCGCTGCACCACCACCAGGGCTCGAGATGAGAGCCCAGAACATTCTTCTGGAAATGTGAAATGCAGTTTGTAAATTAAAGATTCCTAAAACTTGTGCTTTGTCGTTTTTTAATTTGGGGGGTGGTTCTCGTGAAGGGGCCAGGCCCCAGGCCTACTTCTCCGCCGACTCCCAGGGGGAGGCTCCGTGTGTGCCTCACTTAGTCTTGGAACCAGGTCCCTTAGGAAGAAGCGGTGACCTTGCTAGGCAGGACTGCAGATCTGGGATGCTGTAGGCCGCAGGAATAATGTCGCACTGTGTTGGACATTATTCCTGAATGCCCTGAGGAGGAGGAAGCCCTACTGGCGTGGTGGTTGTGTGGTGGGCTGCTCACTGCAAGGTCGGGAGTTTGAAACCACCACATGGCTTTCTACTCCCGTAAAGATACAGTCTCTGAAACTCGGGCTGTTCTACCTTGAGCTGTAGGGTCGCTGACTCCATGGCAGTGAGTTGGGTTTGGTGTTGGCCTTGATGTCTGGCTGCAAGGGTGGTGGGCCTTCCCTCCTGAGCAGCCTGCGCCAGTCCAGCGCATCCTCCCGTGGTTCTGTGAGTGCATGTTCCAATGTGTTTATCCATCCCTCCCCTAAGGGGCATTTAGGCCATTTCCGTCTTGCTATTATGACAGGGCTGCAGCCACAGGTGTCCAGGCACCTGCTCATGTTTTGCTCCTTGTATCTATAGTTTATACCTCGTGGAGTGTGAGCAGGAGGAATTCAGAGCCGAGGAATCTCCTGGGGAGACAGGAACTGCATCTCTGTCCTTTGCTCCGGGTTCAGCTAGCTAATGAGATGACTGCAAGTTCATTTCTACCAACTTCATAGGTCCACGTGCCTGTGCACGAGGGCCTTCAAGAAGTGTGTGGACATTTTTCATTATCCCATAGTTCCGTCTTCCAAGAACTTTTTGAGGTCTCCATATTTTTATGGTTCTTTTGAAATACTATATACCTTGGATGGATGATTGGTGGACAGATGGATGATAGATGAATTAATAGACAATGATGGATGATGGATGGGTGTTTAGATGATGGGTGGATGGATGATGGATGAGCAGGGAATTTTCTAGTACGTTGGAGAAGTTGTTGCTGTTGAGCCAATTCCGGCTCACAGTGATCTTAGGAGGCAGAGTGGCACTACCCATCGTTGCCCAGGCTGGCATTTTATGGGAGCAGATTGGCAGATCTTTGCTCCCAGGGAGCCTCTGGTTGGGCTCAAACTGACAACCTCAGGGTTGGCAGTCCAGTACTTAACTGTTCTGCCAGCAGGGCTCCTATAGCTAGGAGTAAGAAGGGGCTATCATGACATCAGAGGGCCTATTACTACCAAGAATGAATCCCTGGGAGCAGAGAGCATCCTTTGGACCTGGGGTCTCTGCTGAGAACCTTCTACACCTGGGAAAGATTGATGTCAAGATGCATAGAGAGCTCCGAAAGATGCAAGGCCTCCAGGTGCTGAACGGGGACAAGGACCTTCTCCTAGAGCAGACTGAATAAAGCCTCGCCAGGAGCTGGCATCCTGGTGGCACAGTGGTTGCCTGTTAAACTGCAAACTACAAGGTCAGCTGTTTGAAATCAGGGGCTCGTCTTTGGGCAGCGGTTCTTATCCTGTGAGTCGTGACCCCTTTGGAGGTCGAATGACCCTTTCACAGGGGTGGGCCGATTCATCACAGTAGCAAAATGACAGTGATGAAGTAGTAACAAAAATAATTTTATGGTTGGGGGGGTCACCATCACACGAGGAACTGTATGAAAGGGTCATGGCACGAGGAAGGTTGAGAATCCCTGGTCTGGGAGAAAGACGGGGCTTTGTACTCCCTGCAGAATGAGAGCCCTGGAACCCCACAGAGGCAGTTGTCTCCTGCCCCGGAGAGCCATGGCGGGGTCAGATTCCACTCTGGTAGCGAGTAAGTGTGGCCGTGGAGTCCCCGGGGGTACAAAATGGTTCACATGCTGAACTGCTAATGGGAAGTTTGGCAGTGGGAGTCCTCCTAGGGGCACCTCAGAAGAGCAGCCTGGTGACCTGTTTCCCCCAAAGCGGCCACTGAAAACCCCGAGGAGCTTGCTTCTCTGCCAGGAGTGGGGTTTTGGTGAGTGGAGGAAGCAGGTCTGTTGATGGGACCCCTGCACCCGCGGGGCGAACAACAGGGAGGGACAGCCCTGAGAAGCCTGGGTGCTCTGTCAGACAGGTGCTCTTGGTGCCTAGTGCGTGTTCTGGAAGGACCCTTCCATCATGCCAGCCCCTGGAGCCTTGCCCAGCCTGTGGGTGGGTGGGTGGACCGTGACTGGCAGTGTCTCCTTGTTGAATCTCTGCACGTCTCCCACTGCCCCAGGTCCACAGAGATCTCAGTCAGGCAGCCTCTGCTCGATGCCTGAGGCTGGACAAGTCTTCAGGTCCAGTGAGGCTGGGAGGGACTGACACTGGCCCATCTGCTGGGAGGCAGCAGCGGTCCCGGGGGCATGGGGAGCCCATGGGCATTCGCTCAGATTCCACACTCCCTTGAGGCTACCCCTAACTTGAGTGTGGCTGGAATGCGAGGAAGTCAAGAGTCCCCTAAGTTTGCGCTCACTCGATAGTGTTGGCACGTGGTCGGCCTTCACTCAGGAGCCCTGCTGGCACAGTGGTTATGTGTTCGGCTGCTAACGGGGATGTCAGTGCTTCCAAACCACCAGCCATTCGGAGGAAGAGAGGACAGTGACTTACGGTCTCATAAACGCACAGGATACTTCTTCCCTGCCCTACAGGGTCACCAGGAGACAGCATCGTCTCGGTGGCAGTGAGGTTTTTTTTTCTTGTAATTTTTAATCCTTCACTCAAACAATCTATCCTTAATGATCAATTATTCAAGAAAGAGCCATGCCTTTCTGTAATCATTTCTCTCTCACTGTTCCTGAGCCCGATGGATGGCTAGCCTCAGTGCCTGGAGCAACTGCCTGGGTTTTCTGTGCCCCTCGCCTCGAACCCACTGGCTCGCTCTTGTTGAGGATGAAGATGGCACTCTTGATCAGCTGTTCTGCTACGAAGCAGTGTGCTTCGGTCAGCGGGGGCTCCGGTCACGCTTTCTTCCAGCACCTCCTGTCAACACGGCGTTCCAGGACAGAAGGGAGACAGATTGGCTATGATCATGCCATGGGCACAGGTGACCCGGGTCACAGGGAAGCGCCTAGGTGGCATTTTTATGAGAACGGGACCAGGACGGGAGCAAACCCTCTCGGCAGACGCACGGACAGAGGAGAGTGGGGACAGGTCTGTGTCTCCTTCAACCTCTGTGGGCCCCGGATCCCGTGGTGATCTCCATCTGTCCCGAGATCCTTCCCTGGGTCTGGGGGCTTCTCAATGCAGGAGCCCCATACCCAAAGAGCAGATTCACTCTGCGCTTAGTTGTTTTTGGGTGGTGGTGGGTAACCCCTGTCCTCCCTTCCCCGGACATCCCTCTCCTTTGACCTCTTGTAAGCTAAAAGATGTTAGTGGTCATACTTACCCTCAGGAAACTCCCTTTACATCGGATCAGGGCAGTGGTATGATTACGGGGGTTGTATCCTCCACTTAATCATCTGAAAACGGAATCACTGATCACATCCTATCACACAGTGAGGGATCATCACATAACTGCCAAACCGGAGGATCCTGTCTCCGCCAAGCGGACACTTTTCAGGGAGGCACCATTCGTCCCATGAGAGTCTGTCGTCCACACAGGACTTGTTTTTAAAAAAATAAAACATTCTACTGGGGGCTCTTACAGCTCGTATAACAACCCATACATACATCAACTGTATCAAGCACATTTGTACATATGTTGCCATCATCATTTGCAAAACCTTTTCTTTCTACTTGAGTCCTTGGTATCAGCTTCTCTCCACCTCCTTCTCCCCTTTCCCCCCTCTCCCCTTGTGAACCCTTGGTAATTTATAATTTTTTTCCATATTTTACACCATCTGCTATCTCCCTTCAACCACGTTTAAGATGCTTCCATGATATACTCTTATGCTCACTTCCCATCCACCTCCCACAGCCGAGCCTTTCCAGTGGCCTTGGATTGGGGAAGCCAAAGCCAAATCCACTGCTATCCACCTTACTCAGGATGTCCCTTGTGTGGCAGAGTAGCGCTAGGCTCCATAGGGTTTTCAGTAGCGGTGGTCTTATGGAAAGAGATCTCCAAGCCTTTGTTCCACAGGGCTGCTGCTGCTGCTGCTGCTGCTGCTAGTTGCCCTAGGGTCAGTTCTAACCCATAGCAACCCTGCGTGCAACAGAAGGAAATACTGCCCGGTCCAGCGCCATCCTAACCGTTGTCCTGTGCCTGAGCCCATTGCTGCAGCCACTGTATCCATCCATCTCCTTGAGGGTCTTCCTCTTTTTCCTTACCCTTCCACTTTACCAAGCGTGATGTCCTTCTCCAGGGACTAGCCTCCTCTGACAATGTGTCCAAAGTATGCAAGACGAAGTCTTGCCACCTGTGTTAGACAAGGTTCTCTAGAGAGATAAAACCAAATTGCTGATAATTTAATATGTTTACTTATAAAGATAATTAAATATGTAACACAAGAAATGAACTGTTAAATTATATACAAATAGATATACAATACAAGAAATGTACAGTTAAATTATAAAGCAGTACAAATGGCTCAGTGCAACTCACTCCCGTGAGAGAGAGTTGTGAGACACTAGCTGTCCTTCAAGTCTAGTCTGCTGCCAGGTCTTCCTCTATTTATAGAGAGAGCTAGGCTA